GTCTGCCTTCGGCTCAGGTCATGATCCCAGGGTCCTGGGATCGAGTCCCGCATCGGGCTCCCTGCTCAGTGCAGAGCCTGCTTCTCCCTCTCCCTCTGCCATTCCCTCTGCTTGTGTTCTTCTATCTATCTCTGTCAAATAAATAAATAAAATCTTAAAAAAAAAAAAAAAGAAAAGTGTATTGACCCTATTGCTGATTAAATCCCAAGGACAGAGCTGGGGGAGAGCCTAGGTAGATACCCATAATCTCCACCAGGGCCCGAGGGCTCGGTCCAGCACTCTGAAGTGGGCTGGAGGCCGGATTTAGCATTTTTTCACGTTATTTTTGGTTGTAGTCAGTTATGGCCTAGACTTCCCTGTCCTACCCCCAGCACATCCCCTGCCCCCATCCTATTTCACGCCCCCCCCTCCCCCGGGGCAGTGCAGATCCTCCAGCCCCTCGGGGAGGGGTGTTGACCATCCAGACCCTTGGGGGGGGTTGTGCAGACCTTTGGGGTGCAGTGCAGACCCTTCAGACCCTGGGGGGCTAGCAGACCCTCCAGGCCCTGGGGGTGCGGTGCAGACCCTCCAGACCCTGGGGGGGTGGTGCAGACCCTCCAGACCCTGGCGGTGCTGTGCAGACCCTCCAGACCCTTGGGGGAGTGGTGGTGCAGACCCTTGGGTGCTCACTCTGGGGAAGGGGGGCAGGGAGGAGGAGGTTCATGAGGGAAGGAGACCCCTGTTACTGGACGAGGGTCTCTGGCTGTGGGAGCTCACAGGGCCCTGCGAGGATAGCCTAGCAGCAGAGTATTTTGCTTTTCCATTGAGCCCGGAGGAAAGTAAAGATGTACTAACTCAAGCCAATACTGTAGCAAAATTTGGGAGTTGTCAAGAGCCGGAAAGTTTGGCCCGAAGAGGCCACCGTTGGGCGGTGCTATTCTACACAATACGGTGAGAGGCCACCGCCCCAGTGGATGTCCGTCCCGCTGGGGGAGGCGGGCACCCCGACTGGCCCGCGGGCCGGCCTTTGGTGAGAGTCCTCCCGGCGAGGTCTCCGGGGGGCGGGCGGCTCCGGGGCGCACGCGGAGCTCCCAGGACTCGCCGGTGCGCAGACCCGGGTGTTTACGGTCGACTCTGCCCAGATATCGCGAGAGCGCGGCGGCAGGTCTCGCGATACGCGGGCGCGGGCGTAGGGGAGGGAGATCTGAGAGGCGGAGGGGATCGGCCGCGGCTCAGGTGAGCTGCCGGGCGCCGGGGTACCCGGTGGGCGGCGGTGGGTGGCGGGCCGGGGCCGGGGGACGGGCTGGGCGCGGGCGCTGCCCTCTCCCCCTGCCCGTTGGCCTCCTCCTCGCCGCCCTCGGTCCCTCGGAGCGGGGCCGGGGTCGGAGCCGGCTTCACTGGTGGCGGGGAGCCGGGCCGGGGTCCGAGCGGGGCCGGGGTCGGAGCCGGCTTCACTGGTGGCGGGGAGCCGGGCCGGGGTCCGAGCGGGGCCGGGGTCCGAGCCGGCTACACTGGTGGCGGCGAGCGGTCGGGGGTCGGAGCGGGGCCGACCCCCACCCAGCGCCTGGGGTCTGGCGGAGCCGCCCGTGTGCCCAGAGTTTGCAGAAGTGCCCGTGCGGTGCCTGGGCCCAGAAGGGCAGCTCACAGGCAGCATGCTCTGCACACGCAGCCCAGGGGTTGTGATTTCCCGGGGTTTCGGTTTCCGTGGTTGGGTTGCTGAAGATCGGAGTCCGTTGGATAAAGAGGGTGGAGTTTGAGCTGCTGCCTAATCGCATGCCTTGTGCAGCGGCTTAGTTCCAGGCAGTTGAAAACGTGTGTGTGCTCTTCATTCCAGTGGATTACACACGTCAGTTCCTACAGGGGATGGCCTCTCCCGAACAGGACATAGTGGCTAAGTTTCGCATTAGGGGATGGAGAGTATGGCCCCGCTCTAATCTTGGCAGCCGGAGGGGTTTGCCTTTTGGAGCTGACCTCTGCCATCTCCTGCCGCTCGGGCCTGTATCTGCCAGGCTCTCAGCACTCGGTGCTGGTCCTGTTCTGTCTTGCAATCCGTTTTCCATCCACAGTGTGTTTGAGAGGAGCTGAGCATAGTCGCATTGTCCGGGGTGCTAATGTGGCCCACAGAGGAGAAGGGCTCTGTTCTCCTCCAACAGGGATTCCGAGTGAGAGGCCTCACTTTCTTCCCCTGGGGTGTTGGCAGGGAGGTGTTTCCAATCCAATACTTAGGGCCAGCCTTTTACCTATGCATCTGTGGGAATTCACTCCTTTGCTCATTAACTGTACCTGGGATGTTCCCCACTCACGGGCTGGCGGGCGGGCGTCAGGCCACGGTCAGTACGGGTTTGGGGATGTGGGTTCTTTTTTTTTTTTTTTTAATATTTTAATTTATTAGAGGGCAAGAGAGAGAGCGCAAGGTGGGGCGGGACAAGCAGACTGTCCCATGAGCAGGGAGCCTGATGTGGGTTCTGGGATCATGAACTGAGCCGAAGGCAGATGCTTAACCTACACCCAGGGGGTCCCCCCGGGGATGCCGGTTCTTTGCTGTTGCTTGTGCTCTGCCATGCACTGGCTTGTGCGGCACACTGGACTTTAGAGCCACACAGACCTGGGTTCCAGTCCGTTCTGTAACTTTCTGAAACCCCACTTTCGTGATGTGTGAAATATGTGCAGAAAGACCTAGTTGGCCTGCTGTGAAACCTGAGATGTCCTGTGTGAAGTTACAGGCAGAGTGACGAGCTGCGGTCCTGGCTACACCTCTGCCATCTGGAAACGTATTGCTGGACTCATCCTCACAGCACCTGTGTGCGGTGGCTCTCATGAGCCCCAGTTTACAGATGAGTTTGGGCTGCCAGCTCACCGCGACCTGTGGTTACGAACACTGGGGTATCGTAAGGACTCCGAGAGGCACTGGGAGCGTGGGGTCGCTGGTAGAGCTGATGGGGCCTGTAAAGGCTCACGGTGACCCTCCCTGTCTTCCTCCAGAAGCACAGTGGCCATGGACGACCTGGGGGAAAACACCACCGTGCTGTCCACCCTGAGGTCTTTGAACAACTTCATTTCTCAGCGGGTGGAGGCAGGGTCTGGACTGGACGCTTCCGCCTCTGCCCCAAGCTCTCTGCAGATGCAGTACCAGCAGAGCATGCAGGTGAGTGCCCTGTGGCGCGAAGGGGTCTCTGGGTAGAAGACACCTGCCCTTAGGTGGGGCCTGTTCAGGTGCCAGGTAGGTCAGGTGAGTGCCCTGTGTGTGGAGGGGTAGAGAGAAAGTAGAGAGAAAGATTGAGTATGTCCTGGTCTCAGACTATGGGGGGCTGTTTGCGGATCTTGGCTTCAGTCTGCCACGATGTGGCTTCTGCAGTTTTGCTATAGGAATTCTTATTTCACTTGATTTCACGTTCTTAGCAATGCTTACTGTAGACCATGAAAGAGGGGTCAGGTCTCCTGGACGACTTGAGGTTCCACAAACTTGAGGGATCAGTTTAAGAAGTTGGCAATTTGGTCTAAAAAAATGTTGTAACCTTGTTGATGCAAATGTTTGGGAACTTTTGGCCAGTCTGTCAGAACTATAGAATCTAGAATTTCCCGGTTCTCACTAAGCTGGTGCTGTGGAGGGCCTCCTCCGTGTGGGGGATCCCGTGGGCAGAGTGAGCTGGTCAGAGTCTTATAGCTGTAAGACCTGTCAGGGCCCTGACTGGGCCCTGTGCTGTCCCAGCACTTCCGGCAGTGGTTTGGTGCCCTGCCAAGCTGCCCCAAACGGCAGGTGGGGGAACTGGGATCCCACAGGTCTGGAGAGTCTGGCAGTCCCCGCCCCCTTGCCCTTTTTTTTAATGGTCGTGTTTCTGTGGGAAAGTGTTTACAGGGGCTCTGCTCCATGTCAGTGTTGGTTTAAATAGAAGCATGTTTCAGTTACTTTCCCTCAAATGCAGTCTGTGGGCCAGGAAGATGTGGCCACGGACCGCCTTTCTGGGGCTCCTGGCCGCTGTGCAGTAGGGCCCACGGGAGCTGGGGGTCGTCCTTTGGAGCGGCTGGGCCCTCGCTGCCCGCCGAGACTGGGAAGGCCAGTGAGTTTGATGGAGGGTGGACTTCGGAACCCCCACACTTCAGCTGGTGCGAACTGAAATGAGAGAAAATGCCAGAGGATAAAGAAAGCGTGGACTCGGGCCCTCAAAGAGTGTGTGAGGGGGTGGGTAGAGAAGATGCCTTTCCTCTGGCCTGGGATTTCTCAGCCTTGGTACTGCTGGCATTTGGGGCTGGAGAATTCTTTGTTTTGCAGGACTTGCTTCTGCCTTATGGGATGTTAAGGGACATCCCTGGCCTCTGCCCACTGGATGCTGGTAGCAAACACATGCTCCCACCCCCTCTTTTGACAGTCAGCAGTGTTTCCAGATGTTGCCAGGTGGCCCTGGTGGAACTGAGAACCCCTCGCTCTAGCCCGTGCTTCTCAAACTTCGGTGTGCGTATGAATCCCTGAGGCTATGTGTAAAGGAGGTTTCTGATGTGGCCTCTCTGGGGTGCAGCCTGAGGTTCTGCATTTCTTTTTACTGCCCGGGGGCTGCTGTGTTACCAGCCATTCCTAGAACGCTCAGGCTCTAGTCCACGCGAGGACGAGCCCTAACACAGTGAGTGGTTCTGCGGAACTGTTTGGTGTGTCTTCTGAGGCCCTTCAAGGCTAGACCTCACCTTTATGTACCTACCCTCTGTGGTAGGCCGACTTCTCGGATGGCCCTTAAGTCCCTGGCCCCTGGTGGACCACACTTTCTCCCACTTAAACACTAATGTGGTTTTGTGGCAGCAGGATTTTGCCAACATAATTAAGAAATCGGTGGACCTGAAGATGGTGGGCCTGACTTACTCAGAGTGGGAGAGGGATTCTGCATATGGGGGGTTCTGCCTTGCTGGTTTTGGAGGTGGAGAGGGCCACATGGCAAGGGATGTGGGTGGCTTCTAGGAGCTGGCAGCAGCCTGGGGCTGACAGCAAGGAAGCGGGACCTTAGTCCTCCAGCCATGTGAGTGTGAAAGAGGATCCCGAGGTCCAGATGAGTTTAGAACCTGGCCACCAGTGTTGATTTTAGCCTGTGAGACCCTGATCAGACAACCTGGCCATGTGTGCCCGGCCTTCTGTGCATAGAACCTGACTGATAACATGGGGTTTTAGCTGCTGAGTGTGTGGTAATTTTCTACACGGCAATAGGAAACCAACATGCCTTCTTTTCTAGAACAAGCCTACACATTGTCATCTTAAAGTATACCTTTCTCTTCCTGTTATTATTTCCTCTTTGTTTACCGCCTCTCCCCACCCATTTTCCAACGAAGGGCCCAGCATCCATCCTTCTTCCCCAGGGCTGAGTATGGGCCTTGTTGGAGGCAGGTGCTTGGTGTGAGTGTCGGACAAGCCGCTCACCTATTTGGTACAGCTGCTGAGGGTTCTCTTCCCCTTGGGTGTGACCTGGTCAGCTGGAGGAACGAGCGGAGCGGATCCGTTCCAAGTCCCAGGTCGTCCAGGTGGAGCGGGAGAAGATGCAGATGGAGCTGAGCCACAAGAGAGCCCGAGTGGAGCTGGAGCGGGCGGCCAGCACCAGTGCCAGGCGCTATGAGGTGGGTGCGAGCAGGAGCACGGTGCCCGCCAGGCCCTGAGGCAGGCAAGCCTCCGGCAGGGAGCCTGGGGGCTCTGCCTCTGGGTTGCTGGGGATGGCCTGGTTCGGCCATAGCCAGCAGCTATGCTTGATGTCCTTGAGGGGGGCAGTGCACGGGGGGACGGCTGTCTGCGCGCATGCCTCTCTGCTGGGCTGCCTGTTCTCCCTGCCACCCCCACCCCAGCCCCCACTCCCCCCTGCCCCGAAGACTTGGGGTGTAAATCCAGCAGAAATACGAGGTACCACAGGATGACAGGCTTAGAAAGTCACCGGGTTGTGTAAAGGTCTCAGGCCCAGGCCGGACCAATCTTGCTCACGTGATTATAGGGCCTCAGAGCAAGGATCTCCAGTCTTGGGGGTACCTCCTGTTGTCCCTGGCTTACTCAGGGCAGACTGGGCAAATGCAACCCCCCATTATCTAGGGAAGGTACTAGGCTTTTACTGAGGGCATAGATCCCTTTTTTTGCTTCGATCAACAGCACTTTGCCAGAGGTTTTCAATGAGTGCTCATGATTTGTGGAAATGCTGCCAAGACTTAGGCAAAGCATTGGACCGGCATGTCTCTGACCTGCCTGCGCTTTCCCCAAGGGTGGATGTCTGACCCCATTCTTGCCTTATGTGGCACATTTGCACGTTTTCCTAGTCCTGTAAAAATAGCAGATGTCTTCCAGGGTGTGATGCTGGTGGATGTATTCGACCCTGGTATGCAGGCTTCTGGCTGTGGTGTGCCATGTGGGCCTAGTAGCCCAGGAACATGGCCTACGAGTGGGTCCCACGGCCTTGGCATTGCTCTGGTATTGCTGCCAGGGCTTCCTCCTGAGGGGGGGCTTTAGCTGGTGTTCTGGGTCGTCCTAGGAGGGACAGTCCTGGAGGAACTAGTGGGAAGGGACAGGGAGAGGCCGTGGGAATCTTGCTGCTCTTAAAAGTGTGTTATTAGGGCCAAAGGTGGCACCAGGGGCCATCAGGTAGTAGGAAGTGGAGTGTTCGTGCTACTACCCTGACTCTCGGGCAGATGGCAGGGGGTCTGGAGCCATTGGAATTTTCCTGAGCCATTAGTCCATCAAGGGCAAGACCTGTCCTGGCTGCCTTGGGTCTCCAGGGTGCAGTGCAGGCCTGCATAGAATGCATTGGAACGAGTTGGGGGGATTGTCTCACGGTTGGTGGAAGTCTTTTCTTGGGGAAATCGAAGCGTGCAGGGCTGAGCCAATCCCAGGTCCTCGCTGGGCTTGGCCTCCCTGTGAGAGGCCTTTCCCTTCCCACCCACAGACATAGTTGAATGTGATCTGGAACCATCTGAGCCGGTGGCTTTCAAATTGTCCCTTTGCGTCTTGGACATCTGTCATGGTTTCTCAGGGACTTCCAGTTTGGCCACGGGGGGAGATCTCAGAACCTCTCAGATGGTGAAACTTTGGTTGGTGTCTGAGGTCAGGGGACCTGCAGGGACTGCCTGTGTGAACTTGGGATGGGCAGCCTGAGTAGAGATGCTATGTGCCGCTCTGGGGTGGGGCTGCCAGGGGCCCTGCATTGTGGAAGGGTCCCCCGACTCTTTGAGGCCAGACTTGCAGCCCCCTCGAGCGGGCCGTGTCCCTCTGTGTTCATCAGGTCCTCCATGGTGCTGGGCTGGAGAGGCCTGGTCTGAGCGCTTGCCTCGGGTGTGCTGCTGGGCCTTCTGCAGCACCGCCTCCCGGGGAGAGGCCAGAGGTCAGCAGCATCAGGTGCCCACTTGGTGGTCCCTTTGCTTCTGGGGCTGAGGGTGAGCTCCTAAGTGGCTGACTGCCATCTCCGGAGACCACCGGCTCCATCAGAGTGAGGAGTCTCAGTCCTGGGGCTGCCTTCCCAGCATAAGACGCACGGTGGTTCTGCAGGTCTGTGGGAGAGGACGTGCCTGGAGGGGCCTGGCCTCTGGTGGTGTGAGCGGGGCCTGATGCGTGGCTGGCACCGGTGTAGGAGGGGTCCCCGTCCTGAGGGAGGGGTGGGGTGGGCCTCCCGGCTCCCACTTACTCTCCCCACTCTGGCAGCGCGAGGTGGATCGCAACCAGGAGCTCCTGACGCGCATTCGGCAGCTGCAGGAGCGGGAGGCTGAGGCGGAGGAGAAGATGAAGGAGCAGCTGGAGCGCCATAGGCTGTGTAAGCAGAGCCTGGACGCCGCCGGCCAGAAGCTGCGGGAGAAGGAGGACGGCCTGGCCGCGGCCGGCGAGGTGAGGGTTGTCCCAGGGGTGTCGTTTCTCGGGGGAGAGGCGTGGGTGCCCCAGGGTGCTCCTACCTCGGCGCTGGGCGGTTTCCTCCACCTCCTTGCCGTGTGTGTGCAGTGTTTGCATTGTTGTAATCCTGGTAAAAATACTCCTTTTCCACTCTGTGGCCTCAGTTCATAAATCAAACACTTAGTCTTTGTAATTGTGAGTTTTAGTGGTTGGATAGTGTGCATTTCGTCGTATTGAAACTCTGCTCACGTGCATGCATCCTGGTAGATGTACGTACATGCACACACATGCGGCAGGTTGCACGTGGCTTTTGACTTCTGTTACTGATGTTGACGTAGTCCTGGGAATGGGGTTTCAGGTCTCTGGGGACAGCGTCTGGCTTTTGCTATACCAGTGCCATGTTGTCCTGGCGCCGTTGTTGAGGGCTCTGGGTTCCCTGTGGCCTTACCTGTCACGGATGGTGGTATCTTCTGGAAGTACTTGTGGGTTTTTTTCCCCCTTCCCAAAGGTGTAGTGTTGCCCCTGGATTTGCATTTCTTTGGTTATTAGCAGGTCTGTTAGTATTTGAGAACGTCTTTGGAGGCAGCGCATACGTGAACTGTAGTTCTTACCGTCTCTACCAGTTGAAAGTTGTATAAATCTTAGAAACAGAGCCCAGACATTGATGCTGGTGGAGACTGGACTCTCCTGACCTTCCCCGTCCCTTTGCTGCGGCACTGTGGATCACAGGTGCAGTGAGGAAAAGGATGAAGCACTGCCCGGGGAGGGAGCAGGGCACGAGATCATTGGTATTCTGTCTCTGCGTGCTTTTCTTGACCTGATAGATCTCGGGAAGCAGGCTGCAGGTTATTTTTGCCTTGGCAACGCTGGAGAGCATGTTAAGGTTGTTCCTACATCTGTCTTCTGATGTGGATGTTGGCAGGAGAGGAGCTGTGATCGGCCTCAAGACAAGTCCCCTTGCTGCCCTTGGCTTGCCTAGGCTGCGTTCTGGAGGCTGGTGTGGGGCCCATGGGGGGGGCGGGGCCTGCGCTCTGTTCAGTGAAGAGCGAGGTCGGGGGAGACCCTTGCCACACAGGTTGCAAAGAGGATGAGAGAGGGGCCAGGGTGGGAAGGTGGCGGCCAGTCAGGATGGAGGACCCTGAATTTTGTTTGTTATTTGTACCTCCTTGGAGAAGCCTTCCCTGGTGACTCCATCATCACTGCCCCTGCATGCGCTCTCCCCACCATGCCTGGGTCGTATGCTCGTCCCCGGGAAGTCCTCCTGCTGACTGCCGGGCTTCCCCGCAGCCGGGTCCTGTGTGCGTTAATTAGATTCAGGAAGACTTCTCAAAGGTTGTTTTCCTAGTTAAATGTATTTTAGGCTCCATTCTTCTGTGATGCACGGGTTGATAGGCACCCTTGTAACAGAGCAGGTGGATGGAGTAAGGGATGTGGACGGCCTGTGTGAGCCTCCCCTGGGGGACGTGGGTCCTGGGTTGGTGTGGGTCCCCGGGCCATGTGAGAGTGTGTCAGGCCTCCTTGTTGGCAGGGGTTGCCCTGGGACTGCTGGTGTCCCTCACTGCGGGGCATTTGCTGGACCGGGTCCCAGTCTTCTGGTCCAGGAGGTTAATTTACAGGGATGCTTCTGAGTGGGCTTCCCTGGTGGCCTGATTGGTGAGCTGGCTTCTCCTGGGAAAGCCATAGAGGGAGAGCGGTCACCAGATGGTCACTGGGAGGTCACCTGGTGAGGGTGCAGTCTGATGGAAGGGCAGCAGGTCTGCCCCTGAAAGTCCAGAGGCTTGGCCCTGGGCCAGCCTCCCCAGCCCCGGCTTTCTGGCTGAGGGCATGCCTGCGCTTTCCCCAGGGGTGGGTGTTTGGCCCCATTCTTGCCTTCTGGCCAAGGCATTCCCGTGGCTCCTCCGTCCTGGGGGGGCTCCCGTAGCATCATTCTGAAGATGGCCTCAGTCCCCCATTTCTGATTTCTTGGCAGGACGTGGCTGTGGTTCCCAGGGAGTGTTTAGCTGGGATGGGGGCATGGTGGGGGTTCATTCGGGGCAGGTGCGGTGCGGGGAGCCACGCAAGCACACTGGGCACAAGCGAGGGTCCCAAGTGACAGATATCATGGGGGGGGCCTCTCGGCAGGCAGCCCATCCCCATGACCCAGTCTTTTCCCATTTGCTTGAGGGAAGCGCGAGGCCGGCCGCAGGCCAGGATACTCTAGCGTTGGGTTGAGGTGTGGCGTCCCCGCCCAGGTCGTGGGTCGGAAAGGAGAAGAGGGCTCGGTCCCTGCCCACAGGAGGGGGGTGGCAGGTGCAGGCTCTTTTGGGGCCATTTGTCCCGTGGGCTTGTGGGTCAGGAGCTCACCTCTGTGTGTGCGTCACAGCCCGTAAGCAGCAGCCGTGTCCCCCCCTTCAGACCATCAGCGCACTGAAGGCGAGGGTCTCCGAGTTGCAGTGGAGCGTGATGAACCAGGAGATGCAGGTGAAGAGCCTGGAGTCTGAGAGGCAGGAGCTCAAGGAGCAGCTGGCCTTGCAGCACAAGTGAGTGGCTGCGCTGGGGTGGGGCCCTGCCCCTTTGCCGGGTGAGCCTGCCCGCGGGTCGCCCTGGGTCCGGTCAGGCTGAAGCCTGCTGGGGCATGTGCCGGGCTGCGCGTCCGGTGGTTCCTGGTGTGGGAGACCGTGAACAGGAAGGCCTTGGCTCGTCATCCTGTGCCCTCTGTGGTCTGTGCACCCAGTGTTCACGCGTGCCGTCTGTGCCGAGCCCCGAGGACCTACAGGTGCCCTTAGGGTCTGTCCTCCCCGTCCATAGGCTGTTGGCGGCAGACACAGGGACCACTGAAGTGAGGGTGAGGAGTGTTTTAAATGTTCTGAGAACAACAGCAGGGAGCAGTCATTTCTTCCCTCCCCGGGGGCTGGGCCCCCTGCTCACAGAGAGCTTCTCCAGAAGTGAGGCTTTAAGGGCTGTGTGGGGCGCCCCTGGGGCGGGTGGGGTGTGGGCTGGAGGGGCCGTACAGGCGGAAGCCGCCTTCTGAGCAGGCATGGAAGTCTGAAAGGTCAGAGGGCGGAATTCTGTCCCTGGGATCTCGGCCTTTACCTTCGCAGGTGTTGTCCTAGGAGAGCTCTGGACGCTCCTGGGTAGGATTGGGGGCGTGGGGGGGTCACGGGAGTGGCCTCGGCTGTGGCCGTTCCAGGGGTGCACAGCGGAGGCAAGGGAAGAGAGCTGGGGGTGTGACCCGAGGAGACCGAGGCCCCAGTGCCCTGGGGTTTGGGGGGTGCACACTGGAGAGCCTCTAGGGTGAGGGTAACTGCTGGCTTTACTACCCACCTCTGTCTGCACGCGATGTGCTTTTCTCTCGATAGGAAATGTCAGGAGGCTAATCAGAAGGTTCAGGAGCTCCAGGCCAGCCAGGAAGCGAGGGCCGACCAGGAGCAGAGGATCAGGGTGCGTTACTCCGTCCCAGGCGCAGGCTGTGTCTGGCGGACATCCCGGTGGTGGTCTCAGCCATCCAGCCGCTTTAGCCGGGGCACGCTTTGGGTGTCCGGGGACCGTGAGCTGCCCGTGCCCACGTACTGTGGACACTGTCGCTTGTCTCTGTGTGTGCCGTGCTCGGGGCTGGGGCTGCTGCCCCCCACCTCCCCCCAGCGTTGCTTCCCTGTCAGGCCTCGGCCTCCTGGCCCCCCCGCCTCTGCTCTCCCACGTGCCGTTCTCTGGCCGTGGTGCCCGCCCGGCTCTGGCACCTCCCCGCTGCGCAGCCCGCTGGCCCGCCTCCCGCAGCGGGCTCGCCTGCACGGCGCAGTGTCTGCCCTTCTCCCAGACTTACCTGTGTCCTGTGTTGCCCTGGCCCCGCTGCTTGGCCTGCACGGGGCGCAGAGCTGCGCCTCTTAATGTCTGTGGACTCACTGACTTGGTCCTGGTCTCACGCACTGAGCTTGTTCCTTGACTTGTCGCTGACGGATGCCAGCTGTCCCCAGTGTGTCTCGAGGGGACTGCAGGTCGTGAAGGAAAGGCTTTCGTCCGCAACGTGCAGAAGACTCGCTTGTTATGCGGGGTCTAGTGTGGCTGGAGTGGGTCTGGCAGGGGGGGAGTGCTGTGTTGGACCGACGTGCTTATTCGGGGAGCCTTGGCTGCCTGTCCTTGGGCAGATGTGCGCCGGGGCCCCGCGCCCGAGGGCGGCGCAGCACCGAGGTGTGACCCCGGCCTGTAGTGCCACGTCGGGGTGTCCCTGGAAGGGAACGTGGAGGACGCCGCACAGAGGCACCCCTGGTGTTTTGGAGCGGGGCCGGGCCATGGTGGTCGACTTTGTCCTCTCTGTCCCTGGCCTCCCTCAGGATCTGGAGCAGAAGCTGTCCCTGCAGGAACAGGATGCTGCGGTCGTGAAGAATATGAAGTCTGAGCTGGTGCGGCTGCCGAAGATGGAGAGGGAGCTGAAGCAGCTGCGGGAGGAGAGCGCCTACCTGCGGTGAGGCGGGCGGGGCACGGGGCGGGGCGCGGGGCGGGGCGCCCCAGGCTGCCCTCCCCCTCCTCCCTCCCTCCCCCTCCCCCGTCCCCAGGTGCCCGTTGACAGACATGTTTCCGGCCTCGCCAGGGAGATGCGAGAGACCAATGGGCTGCTCAGGGAGGAGGTGGAGGGGCTGCGGCGGCGGCTGGGACGGCAGGAGAAGATGCAGGAGAGTCTGGTCGTCCTGGAGCTGGAGAAGGAGGTGGGGCCCCGGGGACAGTGGGCTGTTCCCTGTGGGTGTCCTCTGTCTGTCCGGGGGACCCTGGGTGTTTCAGTCCAGTGTTCCAGTTCCCCTCCTGAAACGTGGAAGTGCTGGGCTGCTGGTGGCCTGAACAGTGGCCCCAGAACTGTGCCCGGCCTCCTGGGCAGGCCCTCGTGAGCCAGCCCGTGGCGGGGAGACTCGGCCGGGGAGCGCAGTGGCCCGGGATCAGGCATCCTCGCATGGGCAGGGGACGCGTGGGGGAGTCAGAGAGGTGTCATGTGGGGAGGACCCAACCCCCCCGCTGCTCTGGTGTGGGAGACGGAGGAGGGCCTCTAGAAGCTGGGGAGGGCTGGAAATGGCTTCTTCCCAAGAGCCTCCAGAAGGAGCAGTGAGCGCGTGCGTTGTGTTCTCAGCCGCCCGGCGGAAACGCGAGAGCTGATACAGGTAGTGAGTCAGAGAGAGGAGGCGGTGTGGGAAACCCGACCCCAGCCTGGTTCCCACCCGCAGATGTGAGCAGGTGCCCGGGCTCCATTTCTTCTGCTCCTGGACTCCCCGTGGCGGTCTGTGGGGCCATGTGGCACAGCTGGCCGCGGGACTTGGTGCGGCAAGCATCCCGCTTCTCCCGCGTGCGCGTGCGGGGGCGCGGAAGCTCTGTCTCAGCCAGGGCACACGTGACGCCGCTACTCGGCCTTGCTCTCCTCCTCCTAAGCCACGGGCCTCTGTTGTTTCCTGGGTAATGGGGCTGTGCTGGCGGCTGCCTGCTCTTGGCCAGACGGGCCGCCTCTGGCCGCGCAGGGCGGGAGCCAGGCTCCTCTAGGATGCTGGCTTCCGTACGGACTTAGCCTGAAGACGCAGCTCCAGACAGAGCAGTGTCTCCTCTCAGCGCTTCTGAAATTGGTTAAGATTCTGTCTCCAGAGTCACACTGCCTCGCGTGAAATCCCGCCATGGATGCTTGGTGGCTGTGTGAACCTGGGCAGGTGACTCAGCCTCTCCGTCTGCCTGTATAATGAGGAGGAGCAGTGTCTGCCTTGCAGGGTCAGGAGGGCTCAGTGAATTCACGTCCTGTGCTTAAACAGTGCCTGGCCCTTGGGGGATGGCCACTGAGCATCGGCTCCAGCGACAGAGTCGTTAACCAGCCGTGCCCCGCACGTGATAGGGCCGTCCGGTGACGGACTGAATGCAGTGATGCGAGCAGGGCGCTTGGCCCGGGCAGGGGGTGGGGGGAGGCCAGACAGAGGCACGTGGTCCTTGCCCTCACATTGCTTGCATTCTGGAAGAGGTGGGGGAAACCCTGACGTGGGATGTGGGTCAGAGTGTGGCCAGGCAGGCGATGTCCCCACCTCCTGTTCTGCCTGTGGGGCCCCGGGCCCGAGTCGGCCATGTCAGCTGGGGGTAGTTTGGTTCTAAGGCCAAATGTGTCTGCCCTGGGGCCCGGCGTCCTGTGGAGCCCCTGGAACGTGGGGGAGGCAGTGGGTTCTTGTGGTTTCAGCGCCCAGGTCTGCCCTGGGGCGCGGGCTGTTTTTACGGGACCACGCATGCGGCTGTTTACCACCCTTGTCCCTACTCCCCGGTGCTTTCCCTGCTGAGACTCTTACCTGACTCGGTGGGACCGCGAACAAATGAGGCCGATCGTGCTCGTGGTGGGTGTAAGCTGTCTGCTCCGGGGCGGACTCGGAGTGCTTCGGCCTTTAGCTCAGAGATAAGAGCAGGCTGTTCTGAGGGATCAGGGAGACTTAACATCCTCCTCATCGCTGTTGCCTTTGCGTGAGGCTCTTTGGTCTGGGGCCTGAGGTGGGGTTGCGTGAGGAAGGGCAGCAGGCGGCCGCGGAGGCCTCGGAAGGGAGATGCTGGGGTCGCGGTGCTCTTAGCATTCACCTCCTTGTCTTTCCAGAGGCTGCTGGCAAAGCTGCAGAGCTGGGAGCGGCTGGAGCAGACCACGGGCTTGAGCATCAGGTAGGCGGAGGGCGCCACTGACCCCACGGCCCTGCCTCCCCGGCGTCGCCAGCAGCCGCCCTGCTCGAGGCTGCCGGGGCGGCTCCTGCTGGGGCCGCTCACGTCGGGTGAGGTACTTTCGCCGTGGCGGGGACGGGCTCGAAGTGACTCTCCTGCCGAAGTCTGAGCAACTTCCTCACGTAAGGTCGGTGGCCGAGTGTTGGCAGGGATCTGATTGCCCTGCGCCATCGGGCTTTGCGAAGGGACTCCGTGTATGCTCAGGGAGCAGTTGCGTTTGGGGCAGGCCATTCCTTTTAGGCAAACACAAACGAGATGAACTGAGTTTTGGGGAGAAAAGGGGAAATGCCATCGTGGAGGACTGTTGTGCCCGTCTGGCCCCCGCAGCAGCCTGGGCCCCTCTGTGTCAAGCTGTTGCCAGCAGGGGAGCGGCCGGATGCAGGGGGGCTGTGGTGGGGGCTGCCGGGCAGGGAGCTGGCCTCTCGTTCTCCGCTGGGGAGGATGGCCAGGGCAGGCATCTTTCTGCCGCTCCCTGCCCCCAGTCCCACACGTTCTGCCGCCCATCCTTCTGGGGGCCCCTTTCCCTCTTTCTCCAGCGTTGCTGCCTGTCCCTTGGTCCCCAGGACTCTGGGCTCCACTGCGGACTCCCCCTTCGCCGCAGCTTTGTCAGTGTCTGGTGGGTCCAGCCTGGGAGAGGGGTGGCGGAAGATCGATCGTTCGGGCTGAGTCCTTGGAGCTTTGGTGTTTCAAGAGCCTTTTGTCTTGCCTGCTTGTGTGACTTTAAGACTGTAGCTTCTCAGTTGTGTTTCGTGCTGCTCCTGGAAACTGGGCCAAGATTGAGAACTTTCTTTAGAGAGGTGTCCTGCGATGACACGTCCTGCTGCTGGTTCTGGGACCTGCGGTGGTTCCGATCAGCATTATTCGCGCGTGAGCCGCACCCGCAGGACCCAGGCTCGTGTTGGGCCGGCCTAGCGCGGGGGCCTGAGTGTTCTGTGCTTCCTCCTGCTCTCTGCGCTCATTAACTCACCTGAAGGCTTCCCTCCTGCTCCCAGGGAGGCTGGTCAGAAGAGAAACCTCCGTGACGTCTTTCTTTGCGGGAGACCAGAGGCCCACACGTGCCCGATCAGCTCAGCCGCCGGCGTGTCTGAACGCCCAGTGTGTGCCACAGAGCTCTCACCGTTGGTCAGGCCCGGGGTTGGGGCACGGCTGGCCGCCATCTCTGGCCCGGATGGAAATGCGCTACTCCTCCAGCCCTTCAGTCTCACTTCCAACCAGAGGGCCTTCTCCGAGTGTGGCTGGTGTGCAGGGAGCTGACCGCCTGGTCACCTGCTTGTGCGTCTGTGTGTCGTGTGTTCAACGGGTGGCCGGGCCCGGGAAAGGGAGAGGAAGGGGGTGGTTGAGGGCTGTCAGACGTGAGGGGTCGGGGTCGGGGGTAGGAGAGGGGACTGTGTAGAGCAGAGCTGGTGTCCCTGCCGGCCCCTGGTGAGTGTGTCCCCTTCAGGTCTGTGCAGGGAACGCAGTGCGGGCCTCGCCGTGTGTGTGAAGATGAGCACGCTCACGCGCTGCGGAGCGGGACCCGTGTCCCTTCTGAGCAGCCGGAGGCTTCTCGAGAAGCAGGTGGAGCACCCTTGTGGTCCTGGTCTCCTGGCACCCCGTGGTGAGGGGCTCCTGTAGGGGGGCAGGTTTTCTTTCACGTGCTTTGTCAGCCTGTCCGCGGTCCCTCCCGGGGGCACTTTGGAAACCCCAGCTCCTCTACCCCTCCTGTCCCCGGTAGGGTGCTTGGCAGCCTTCGCCTCCGGCCACTCTGCCCCCTGAAGTGAGTACGTGTGTTGTGTAACGTGGGTGTGTGGCCTGTTGCCAGAGCCCTGTGGAGAGTTGGGTACAAATGCAGACTCCCCAGGCCCGGTGGGTCAGCCTGCCGGGCCCCGGACTGGAGTCTTGCACGACCTTGAGTGCTGTGAGGAGGAGTTTGGCTCTCCTTTTTTTGCTAGGTTTTGGGCAGTCAGAGATTTCTGAGCAGGGAAGGTGACTTGTAGGAGCCCACATCTGGTGAAATTGAATAGGGGGTGGGAAACGTGCAGAGGGAAACAGGGCACAGGGAAAAGCTGGGGTCCCTGCAGGAGGGGCGTGGGAGGGAAGGGTGAGCACCGGTCACGAGCTCTGAGACTGCTGTCTGGGTGGCTGGGTCTGCCTGGAGTGGTCCAGGATGGATGCCCTCCGTCAGCCTGGCCATGTTCAGTGTGGCAGGGGACGAGAGGCCTGGCTCAGACCCTACTCACCAAGGGCTAGATGTGTGTCTGGCCCCAGCTTGGCCCTCATGTGTTGGGCGGGTGGCTAGTGCCTCATCTTCCACATCTGTTCGTGGAAGGACTTTCTAGAACATTGCTTCCTCCCCGTGGAAACATGTTCGTGTGTGGGTGTGTCCTAGTTCAGGGGCCCGCCCCTCCCAAAGCGTTATCAGCCAGCTCTGGGAGATGGCCGTGGGTTGGAGTCCAGCAGATGCCCTCCAAGTAGGAGCTGGAGGGGCAGGGAGGGCCTTTTGACCCGGCGGGCTCGAGTCTCTTGGCCTTGAGGCCAAAGTGTTGCTGTCACTTTGGGACTGAAGGCATGTCACTTGGCGTGTGTCGTGACTGCCGGCCCTGGCCCGCGTCACAGGTCTCCTGGGCTTTGAGGGCTGCCGCCACTAGGTGGCACCCCCTGCCCCGTGATCCTGATCCCTGCACCTCTAGAGCAGTGGGGTCCCGTGGGTTTCGGGCCCCACACCTGCAGCCTGCGGCTCCTCCTGGTCCTCTGCCGCTCTGTGTGGGCCTCGTGTGCTATGGCCGCGGCCCAGAGGGGCAGGGCTGTGGGGTCTGTGGCCTTACAGTCCTGTGCACCTGGGGGCGGCTGGCCGGCCCCCGTTGGCTGTCCCACACCTACTCTGTTCTTGACCAGCCTCTTTATGATCCTTAAATACCTGCAGTCTCTGAGTTTCTGGTGTTTCAGACCAGATAGTCTCTGCACGGGCTGTCCTCCGTGCGCAGGGCTGTGGCTTTCCGCAGATTCTCCGAGGGCCCTGTGGCCTTGCAGAGGTTGGGAACAGAGAGCAGGTCTGACACGTGGAGAGACCAGAACTCCTTGAAGTTCACACGGCATGACTCTTGTCACCCTTCTCTCAGTTTGGGATTTCTCAGGCCCCGAGGAGCCCAGAGGTGTCAGGAGAGTTGGGTGGAGTTGGCCGGGGCAGGTCAGACAGTGTAAACTAGTAGGGAAGGAAGGCCCTTGGCTGTTTCCTCCCCTGCCAGGCAGGCCTGTCTACCCGGATGTTGCTGGACACCTGTCTCCAGCATGCAGGTCATCTGGTTGGAGGCAGTTGGGCCTTGGGACTTGGAGAGTCCTGGGTGGGAGGGATGCTGCACTAGGTTGGGTGGGGTGCCGTGCACCCGGGGGAGGCTGCAGTGTGGAGGAGGGTGCATGGGTGTGGTTCTTGGATGTCCTCATCCCAGGGCTTTGAAAGCTGAATGAGGAACTCAGCAGCAGCACACAGAGAGTGCCCGGGTACGGACAGCTTTGCCCTGGGAGCGTGGCCTGGTGGGGAAGGATTTGAAGGTGCTGACTCTCTGCGTCGGTGTCAACCTGGATGTGACTGTCTGGGGCACCGGAGAAGGACTAACAGAGGGGCGGGGGGGGGGGGGGGGCAGACGGAGCAGAAGGGAGCACCTGCAGCAACATAAGGGTGCCTCCCCTCAGAGCACTGGTTCGTGTGACTATTTTAATAGAGGGGAACACACGTGACCATCTCCATAGACGCAGAAGCATTAGTGAGAGCTCAACACCCTTGCGCGATGAAGACCTCTGAGCAAAGCTGGAGTGGAAGGGGCCCCTCAGGCGTGGCGCCTGCCGGCCCTGCAGCTTGCAAGCCCTCTCCCCAGTCCTCGTCGGTGGCGGTGGTGGTGCAGGCCAGGGCAGAGGTGGGAGAGAGGAAGAAAGGCGTGCAGCTGGAAGGAAGAAAAGCTGCCTCTGGTTCGAGACAAGACGATCATCCGCATAGGAAATCCCAAGGACTCTGTAAAGAGCCTTTTGGAATCGGTAAGTCTGACAGGCTCCCGGTTACAAAGACAACACACAAAGGCGGACTGAATTTCTGCATACTGGCAGCCAGCAATTGGAAGTACACGCCCCTGACTGTAGCCTCAGAATCGTGAAATACTTGGGGATAAATTCGATGAAAATCTGTATGTTGTCAAGTGTAAGTTCTTCCTGAGAGATACCGTGCTCGCGGATTGGAGGAGTTCATGTTGTTGAGATGCCAGTTTGCTAAAATTGGTCCATACATCCAGTGCAATCCCAGCCAAAGTCCCAGCAGGCTTTTTTGGTAGAAACCAACAGACTGATCCTGAAATTTTGTAGACTTGTTTTTGAAAAAAAACCAAGGGCTTACAGGGGTTGATTTCAAGACACGCTATAAACCGTATCAGTCAAGGCTGTGTGGTAATGGCGTTAAGGATAGACGTATATGTCAACGGAGAAGACTAGGAAGTTCAGGAATAATTCAAGAACATAGAGTCTGTTGGTTTCTGTGGAGATGAGATAATTCAGCAGGAGAGTCAGTCTTCCACAAATGGTGCTGATGCGGTGGGATGTCTGTATGGTCAGGTGCAGGTTCTCGTGTCTTACCGTTCCAGCATTGAACCAGTGGGCGGGCACCTACCTGGGGTGAAAACCAAGACTTCTGGAAGGTTAGGACACAAAAGCATGAACCAAAAATGCAGAAAATTGGTAACTTAGAGTTCCCCAAAATGAAAAAATACCTTTGCTCTTGGAAAGAACAATTAAGACAAAGAAGAGGCAGACCCTCTTCTAGGAGGGAGAAAGTATTTGCAGTGTGTACATAGGCCTGACGGAAGATTCCTATCCAGGATTTGTGAAGAATTCTTCCAAGTGAAGAAGACAATGGCCAGTTTTTAAAAGCTGGGCAGAAGACGTCTAACAGAAAACTTTACAGAAGAGGGTCTGCGGACGGG